TATATATATATATATATATATATATATATATATATATATATATATATATATATATATATATATATATATTATAATTAATATTATATTGTCATATAATAACAAGGTACGTAATTATTTTATATATTATATTATAATATATTAAAACATTATATTACGTTATATTATTATATTATTATATTATTATTATTTCTCTATATATACACACACATATACATAGAATGATCGATAAATATGTACATATATATTTCATAAATATCCATTGCATATACAGCGCACATACTTATGACATCCATTGTATGTCATTTGTATATCACTGCATGTGAATAGGATATGTCCCATCCACGAATACGTATATATAATGTATACACATTGGATATCAAAATGTTATCTAGGATAATATCGTTATTCTCTCTTATCGTTTCGTTTCTTGGGTAATATCGTTATGTATTGTTTAAATATCATTTAACTTGTTGTTACTAAACCTAATATCTCTACTCAGGTATTTGTCATTTCGCAACAAAACACGCTTATATATCAATTTGTTATATTAAATTAATTAAATTAAATTCAATTTTAATTTAATTTAATTTAAATTCAATTTAACTAAAATCAATTTTTCGTATTAATATGCAAACTATTCACGTTATATAAACTACATGAGCGGGAGAAGAGAAATGAGGACACACAAAGTGTGTTACAATAATAAAGATTCATGTAAAACTTTTTGCTATAATATCTTATCCTTGTTTTCACAATACTAGTGTTATATTGACAGTATTACGTAATTGCTCCGATTTATTATTTATCATGATGTGGCAATCTAACTCTTTTGCGTAGTAAGAGAAAACTATCAGGAGCAATTTCCTCCTCTTCCCTATCCCCACTTTCTATGTCATCTTTATTATACTATTGATAGCAATTATTAAAATAATTTCCTCAATTTATTAAACAATAGTTTTATTTTACACTTTCATATAATCCACATAAGTAAACAACAAAATTTGATTTTAAATAAACTAAAAACTTTAAATAAACCAATTTTTTAAATAAACTAATATTTTTCAGATTATTATAATAAACAAATTCTTTTAATAAACAAATAAAAATTTTTAATTTTAAACTTGCGGGCTATAATACTTTACTTTGATAATAGCAGTAAAATCTCTTTCAATAAAATGACTTTCGTTCAAGCAGTCGAGATAATTTTAGTCTTATGTCCTTCGTTATAAACAGATTTACAATTGCAAATTTATACATGTTATGAGGAACTATTATACTGTTGAACTAATGTCCTCGTTAAAACGCAAGCAAAGAAACCACACCCAACACCTCCCCACCTTTTAATATCCTACTATATTTAGACCTTGTAACTGTCTATAAATGCAGGATAATTTCTGCGCCATTTAGTTTACGAGGAAAGTTCCTCACATCTGTTGTTTCCATAAAGATATACGAAGTATTCAGAATGAAGACATTGGCAATTATTGTAGCTGTACTAGCTATCATAGTAAGTACAAAATAATAAATAATGATCTTCATAAACTCGTAAAGTACTCGCAATATATATATATCTCGATTTTATTAATAATAATATTTTTTCTGTTTTTTTTAATTTTTAACGGGCTTGGCTCACATTTCATTAGCATAATCTTCCGCTTATTTTGCACATAAGCATTCCAACTTGTAATACTTAAAGACTAAGACAATAGTTGTACCGTTAATATTATATCTTACCGAACAAGATTATTTAAAAACGCTTATTTCTAAATTGTTTAAATTTATTTTAAAGACATTATATTTAACGCTACATCTTCTTTTTGTTTGTAATATTTTTTCTATAAAACAAATCTGTAAATTGTGAACGTAAGCAGTAACAAGTCATTCTACGAAAGTATTAAAACTTATTTCAGGAAAAACAAAATTAAAATTTATATTTCAATAAGAACCGTTTTTTAACAATTCCATCTATAATTTTCTTCGAGACATAATATAATACTTTAATATGAAATTTGTAAATAAAGAATCTGCTTCAGTTAAAAAATTATAGATACTGCGATTACACCCTATTATTTAAGCAAAATGACATAATGTTAATACGTCAAAATGTGATTAATTCCTTAGACGATGGTTTACGGTTTCAACCCCGAGCGATTAAAAAAATTGAAAGATAACATGGAAAAGTGCAGCAAGGATTTGGGCGAGTCATCGTGTAAGTATCAAAATTTAAAATATTCAAAGAATTATAACATAAAAAATGAAATGAAAGTTAATGAAAGTTAATTAAAATTTACCACCTTTTCGATAATGTTTATCTTTATATATGTTGTGAAGGTAATAATTTCTGAATTATATTTATCACTTTTTATTTAGTGGTCTATCTGGCATATACCATTCTGCACATCCATTTAATAAGTCTTTATATTTATTTGGAAGCTAATCAACGGTTTGAGATTTCTGAGAGAGAGCGAGCTATCACAGCGTTACTGATAATTTCTAATAGAAACAGAAAGAACGTTACTATGCACAACTGAAGAGCGTTAATTATAGCATTCAAAGAAAATCCGATTTATCTGTAACGTTATTACATCAGCATTTTGAGTGTTACACCTAGAGTTGAGAAGTAACGCGTTACTTGTAACGCGATTATCGTTATCGTTATATTTCTTCAATATAGATCGTTACATTTTTCTCTTTGTAACGGTAACGAATTCAACTGTTACTTTTATCGTTACTGTAATTACTTCTGGTCCATAGATGATGCTCTGGTCGTGCGCTAATAGTGTACATTAAATATTCTTGATTAGATAGCAATATCTTGATATTCGTTAATAATTTCGAAATAAAGACAGTACGTGGTTTTATCTTATTTTTTATCTAGAAATGATTACGAAGTCGGATTTTGTAATTAAGCTGTTAGAAACTTTTAATAAATATAATAATAAATATATTTTGTGTAGAGAGAGAGAGAGAGAGAGAGAGAGAGAGAGAGAGAGAGAGAGAAAGAGAGAAAGAGAGTTCACTTTCCTAAAAAAACCATATAACTGCGTGTGTATTACATTAATCACAACAATTATTAAATTTATTAAAAATTTTTAAAACCCCAAATATTGCAAATCAGACTCTATATTAAAGATAATTTTTGTATAAAAAGAATAATAACAGATAAGAAAATGGGATCGAGCTTATTAAGAAATATCAGTTCTTTGAGGAAGAATTGTTGCAATTTTGAAAAATTTGTTTTTTTAATGAAGTAATTACTCTAAAAATTATAATTTAAGCTTAAAAATAATAATATCATTGTAAAATCCATTACATATTTTATTTTAGTATTATGAAAAAGTAACGAAGAAGTAATCGTTACTTACTTAGTAACGATAAAGGTAATGAGTTACTATCCAAAATTAGTAACGAGCAATGGTAACGAGTTATTTTTTATAAAAAGTAACGGTAACAGTAACACGTAACTTTTTAAAAGTAACCTTCCCATTTCTGGTTACAGCTCAGCCGCTTAGTGGCAAAGCGCTTCTTTGCGCGTTAACAAAAGATGGCCAAGTACGTATATTCATATCTAATGTACGAAACAGTGAAATAATCTTAACATATAGTATAATTAGGTTACCAATATTTTATAACTGTATTATTTTGTTTTTGTGCATTAACAACTACTCGTCACAGACAAATGTTTGATTCTATCGAATCGCTTCTTTGAATAATCGGTAAAATATATTGTATCAACAAGTCAACAATATATATAGTTAAAAAATTCATATAATCTATCTAGTTTATATGTTAAGGGAATTTCGCTTGGTTAGAAAAAAAGCGAAAAAGTGTATGTAGGATATTTTAAAATAAAATGTTTGAATCGTTCCCATGTGCCTTATAGAGATAAGTAGAGATAAGAAAGACAAAATATAAGTACATACAAATATAAATACATACAAAATACGTTAATTCAGAAAAAGTTACAATTCTCGCATTAAAAGTTATGTTTCATAAATTGCATTGGAGGTCAACAATTATCTAGCCACAATATTGCTAAAAAATTTAGTCATGTAATAATAGATATATAAAATAATTTGTATGAAATTACAACAATATTTATTTTAAAACGTATTTCCTTCTTCACACACACACATACTAATATTTTATAAATAAGAAATATAAAAAAAATTCTCAGCAATATATAGAGATAGGTTCTATTTTACATATATAATGATATATATAAAATAATTACTACTATCTATTTTAGATAATTAATAAGGACGGCCTGTTCTGGGTAGAGAATTCTTCCCAAGCACTTCAGGATTTTATTTCCGACACGGCCAAATTGGAACAGGGAAAGAAGATATTCAAAGAATGCTACGACAAAAGTAATGAATTTCATTATCGTTTTCAAAAATAATGTTAGCATTTGTAATTAAATTGTTTTTTAATTGTAGATATGCAAGGCCAAGGTACTAACCAGGAAAAGACGGCGAAACTAGCCAAATGCACATTGCCGATTGTGGCTCTCCTTGGAAGTATATAATAAAAGCAAATAACTGATTTTTCCCTGAATGTGATATACACTTTATACTATTTCATGAATTCTTTGATATAATTTTATCTGTATATCATTTAGTCTTCACTGAGTTATAAATGTTTGTAATAACAGTTCAATAAAATTGCAGTAAAAAACAACATTTGGTGGAACTAAGTTAACACCTATCAAGACAGACAACGAATGTGTGCAAACATATTACAAAATATCCTTGCCATCAAGTCGTCTCAAAATAGCTCCAAAATTATATCTTTACAGTTTAAAATTCTTAAAAGCCACTTGAAAATATTAATCGCCACTTAAAAATAACAATCGTATTTGTTGTAATTTACTCTGTAAGGTATTAAAATAATATAGACAATAATCAAACAATATTATAGTCTCGTGGAGTTTACTATATTTTGGAAGCGAAAGTAGTAAGAAATTGCTTAAATTCTAAATTCCTGATATTAAAAGTATGTAAGAAATTGCTTAAATTCTAAATTTCCGACCCGGCCAAATTGGAACAGGGAAAGAAGATATTCAAAGAATGCTACGACAAAAGTAATGAATTTCATTATCGTTTTCAAAAATAATGTTAGCATTTGTAATTAAATTGTTTTTTAATTGTAGATATGCAAGGCCAAGGTACTAACCAGGAAAAGACGGCGAAAATAGCCGAATGCACATTGCCGATTGTGGCTCTCCTTGGAAAGGTATAATAAAAGCAAATAACTGATTTTTCCCTGAATGTGAATTTTTCCTGATATCGTTATTTTATACAATCGTTGAACTAAGATAAATCAATTTTGATATATTTGGCGCAACCAACCTTCTCAAGCTTGTTATTTTGACCCAGAAAATTTTCTCGCGACAGTAGAGCAAATCGTTAAGTGCAAATAGCAATTAGGAGAAAATGTGGGTGAGTATTATCCTTCCTAAATATACATTACAGACAATTGGAAGATCATACATTATAAAAATCTGCACCGATAAATAAATATGATATACGTTAGGACACAGAATATTAGAATTTAGCCTACAGCAGGACACCAGAAAAAATCCATAACAAACACTAAATAAAATACGCAATAATATACATTCGTGCTCACTTTGTTTTGTGATACACGTTGAAAATGGAATTCTATTATCGGAACAAAGCGCGACGTAAAAATATTAGGAAAATGCCAGCATTTCAAGTGACAAAATTTGTTCGATGCAGTTACAAACTGTTTAAACTGTTAAATATATTATTAAATAGCGTTACATAGTGCGAAAAGATTACTCAAACAGTCATATTAGAATTAATTATATTGCATGTTCGAGACAATATTCAACAAGATCTTGCAATATTCGATAGACGAATTTATGAAAAATATTTAAATGAGTTTTCCAAATAAAATGATTGTTGTGTTATAGTTTCTTATTATATTTACTTAATAGAACAGAAGGCGGAAAAACAGTTTCAGATTTACGTTGCCCCTTTATTTTGTTAAGCACATATTTATCGTTTTGTATTGTTAACAATCTTTTATGTCTATTTGGTGTGAACGACTCAATAGATTCGCGTTTCTAATAGCGCGAACAGAAGCTTTGCTACAGTCAATTAAAAGTCAAGTTAGTTATAGCATTCAAAACAAAAGAGATTTCGCAATTGCGTTAACACTCCTGCAATTTTTGCGTTACAGGTCAACCTTGTGCTGAGAAATATTACTGCGTAGTGGCGAATGACGGGGTATTTGTATTTAATGTATATGTATATTCGACGAAAAGTCTTAAAACGTAATATAATTAAATTACTAATGTTTTATTGCACATTTATCTCTGTAGATATTGAGAGACAAAGCTATGACAATGGCAAAGATTGTAGATTTATCTTACCCAACAGAACATAATGACAAATTCATATCAATCGTCGATATATCATAGTTTCTGTTAGAATATTATTCCCGCTCTCTTGAATAATCATTAAATAATAATTCAATAATACATATAGCCAATAAATTTCTAAGAATATAAAGTTAACAATGTTAAAGTAGAATAAAATAAAATAGAATAGAATAGAATTTAAGGTAAATGTACCAATATCAGGATACTAACAATATTGATACATAATTCTGAACATTCTTATTGTCTCGGCCTTAAAATAAATATTTAAACTTCCAATGTAAAATATATATTGAATATGTACATATATTCTACATTGAAAGTGTAAATATTCGTATTTAAAAACTAAGACAACAAGAATGTCCAGAGTTACATGTCAGTGTTATTAGTGTCCAAGCATATGCATTTTACTTTACTTATGCTGCATAAATTGCAATTAAAGTAGTTGTTTCGCGACTGTCAGAGAGCTTATTCATATGACAAGAGAAGAATGGAATAATATTTGCGGAAATATATAACAATATTACCCTGAGTGTTAATATCTCATTAACGATAGAAGCAGGAAAAGATTCAGTAATACTTATAGAGTTAACATTTTACATAAAACAATAAGTTACGCAGAGCAATCGGTATTATCTATTCTAGACTGTACACGAAGATGGCCTTGCCTTAAAGCACGTATCTCTAGAAAAAGTTTTTGGAAACCAAGATTAATTGAAGAGGACAAATGAGAGCACGAAAAGTATGAAACGTACAAAAGTGAGATTCAGTGCATATTATAAACGCTTTGCATGATTTTATGAAAATATAATTAGAAATAATTCTGAAAAATTAATTTTCACGTAGAGTAAATAATTATTCTATTTTATTACCAGGGGTACTATTCCGTACACGCTTACCGACAATTGTCGGATCGGTAAACGTCGTTGCGCAGCTTTTCTATGATATAAAAAAGCTGCGCATCGACATCTACAGATCCGGCAATTATCGGTAAGCGTGTACGGAATAGTACCCCAGATCTGAGAATATGAAACAGGAAACCGGAATTTGCCCATAGATGGCTCTAGCTGTCAATGTAGTTATTGTCAAACCGCGTCATTGGCGCCGTTTCCTTATTGACATCTCTGACAAAGATTTTCAACTCACAACAATACAAGTTTCATACAACAGCATAGTTTGTAATAGCGTTGAACATGTCGAATTTTGTGCCTGGAAACTACGATTTGCGGACAGCATTGATTTTCTATTACCATTTGAAGAAAACTGCTGCAGAATCGCATCGAATGCTTGTCGAAGCTTACGGTGAGCATGCTCTTGGTAAATCACAGTGCTTTGAGTGGTTTAAAAAATTCAAAAATGGCGATTTTGACGTAAGAAACGAAGAACGTGGAAAACCACCGAAAAAGTTTGAAGACAGCGAATTGCAAGCATTGTTGGATGAGAATATACTCAAACGCAACAACTCGCGGATCAGTTAAATGTGACACGAGCAGCCGTCTCCATACGTTTGAAAGCCATGGAAAAGATCCAGAAGATGGGAAAATGGGTTCCACATGAACTGAATGAAAGACAGCAGGAAATCCGAAAAACCACTTGCGAAATGCTGCTCGCCAGGTACAAAAGAAAGCCATTTCTCCATCGAATTGTGACTGGCGATGAAAAGTGGATATATTTTGAGAATCCTAAGCATAAAAGATCATGAGTAACTCCAAACGAACCATCAACATCGACTGCAAGGCCAAATCGCTATGGACGGAAGACAATGTTCTGTGTTTAATGGGATCAGAAGGGTGTGATCTATTAGGACCTTAACTTAGTTTCCGCCCGCAAATGTTAGATGGCAATGCAAACAGTTCTAGTAGTCATTACTAACGAAACAGGTAGTTTGTGATTAATTTCGACATTTCTCGATAACATTCAGTCAGCATACACAATTATTTTCCTAAACAACAATTTCTTTTGCTTTGTGAAAAATGGAACGCGATAAAGTGTTTTTTCGACATGTGCTTTTGCACTATTTTGATTTGAAAAAAAGTGTA